GAGGAGGAGGAATTTAATTATTTGTTTAATCTTTACGATAAAACTGCGCAATGAACAATAACTTATGAAACGAAAAAGAAATCTCTTAAAAAACAAAAATGAACAGATAGGAATTAATCTACCGCCCAATAAAAACGTGTCTATGTGACACAGACATAGTACCAAAACCCGAAAAGCAAGATTCAGGTCGTAGAAATCAAGTATCTGAGAAGTATTCAAAGTATATAAGAAAAAATAAATAAAATAGATTACATAGTTACCAAATTAGAGAATAGCTTAAAGTTGAATATATTTTGGAGTTTGTTGAAAAGAGACAATTGAGCTGATGGGGATACTTGGTGAGAATGGACAACCAAAGACAAAAAAAAGTGTCAAATTTAAAATCATCAAATAAAGGAAAATGAGGAAAATCAAGAGTAACTTAGAATAACGAGATAAGCAAAATATTTATTACTAAAGAAATAATATGCAATGAGAAATGTCCATAACAAAGTGAAGAAAATGACTGGTAGACAAAAAAAGAGACAAGAGACAATAGTACGGAATAATAAGAACGAAATAATTATAGAAACAGAAGACAAATTAAAGAGATAAAACTCCCAAACATCGCTTGATGTCTCATGTCTTTACAATTTTTTTCAGAATCATTCATACACAAATTTAAAAGAAGTGTAAGTTCCGGATGAGTGACACTTAAATCGGATTTAGAAACGTATTAGAAACACGAGAAACTCAACGATGCAGAGACATGAATGTAGATATATATGCATGTTTTATTGATTATCGAAAAGCATTTGACTGAATTAACCATAAAAATATGGTGATGAAATTATGAGAACAACTAAAATTGACGAACAAGACTTGCAAATTATCTCAGAACTATATTGGCACCAAACAAGAACAATTAAAACAGAGCACACAACATCCAAAGATATAATATTTGGTTACATATATATCAATATGGTTACATATTGTTCTATAATTCCTGAACAAAAAGTAATTATTTCACTTACTTTAACTGACATGATACTGGTTTGTTAGAAGCTTTAACAATACTTTTTGACTTAAGTTAATGGTTATTTATATTGTGTTTGATATAATTTTAATTCAGTCCCACCCCTAGATAACCTGTAGAAATAAAGGTTTTTAAAGTAATAAAATTTACAAAGATTTTGAAGGTGACAATTTATGGCTTAGAATACGACTTAATTAATAGGGAACAGTCTACATTTTAATTACTTGTTCCAATTCTGTTTATTTGAATTTGCGTGTGCGTAATTTTACGGTAACAATACTTTTTAAAACGTTTTGACACCTTTTGCACAATTTCACATACAACTAAAGAAAAAATGAAATATCTAAAAGATTTTTTTAATGAAAGGATAATAAACAGTAACACTGTATACTTAATATTCTTCTGAAGCTATTTTCTTGTGGCATTGTAAATTAATTACTATTTAACTGGGAATAAGCCACAATTAAAGATATAAATACGTTTATTGACGTTCCAATTTCCACTTCGGAAATCGTTCTTAAAATACAAACAGTAAATTAAACAAATTTTGTTTTTTGTTACATAGTGAAAAATTCTTCTAATAATTTAATTTTATCTGACTCATTTATATTGACAATTCAGACATACATTATGCATTTTAAAGTAGACGACTTTAAAATGATATTGCCAATATTGTTGAGTTGCGCTCCTGGGACGACTTTACTTATAAGATAGTTCATTCGATTACATGAAATCAACTTTAACTTGAGAATATTCGTCAGAAAACAGTCATAGCATATAATTCGTCTTTAAAAAGACAAACACATGACATGATGACAGTAAAATTCTCATGTTCGTGATTCCATACTAAATTATGAGGGAAAAACCAGGGAAAAAACCTCATAATACTATCCCGACATTGTAAGTATTTGTTCGTGAATTTAGTTTACCTTCAACAAACATCAAAATTCTGATTTTATATGTTACGTTATTTAAAAAACATAAATGATGTATTCTCTATATGTTACTGACTTACTAATACTGGTATTTTCTTATTAATAACTTCCTCTTTCAATATTGGTAACCAGATCCCACTACATTCTACCGAGGAATTTGTGGCACAATTGTCCTCATTTAGCATAAGAGCCGCTTCTTTGATTTTTCTTTTTTTACCATACTCTGGAAAGAGGTCTCTGGAAAGAAAAAAGTTTCCAGAGACAGGGACAAATGGAAGATTGTTCTGAAGAAGGCTTTGGCCCATGACGAGCTGTAATGCCACTGATGATGAAATTTACCAACTGATTTTGTTTTCTTAGCTCTTTCAATGCTTTGAACATTTCTCTTCTATTCACAGAGCCGTAGACTGCTTTGTAGTATATCTATATATATATATATATATATATATATATATATATATATATATATATATAAATTATGATTTTTGAGGATGCAGTCAGTTTATTTGGCCCACAAGACAAAGAAAACTCTTTGACTTATTATTTAATTATTTTTCAAGACATCTATAAAAAGAAATTTAACTTACTAGTTAAAATTGTTAATTGTCTTACTTACTAGTCGTGAGATTACAGTTGTTAATACTATTGTACTCCACAAAACAAACAACGTGGAGTACAATAGTATTAACAACTGTAATCTGACGACTAGTAAGTAAGACAATTAACAATTTTAACTAGTAAGTTAAATTTCTTTTTATAGATGTCTTGAAAAATAATTAAATAAAATTCGAAAGCTTGACAGTAAGTCAAAGAGTTTTCTTTGTCTTGTGGGCCAAATAAACTGACTGCATCCTCAAAAATCATAATTTATATTTAAATCAACAGTCAAGCATACCACCATCTTATATATATATATATATATATATATATATATATATATATATATATATATATATATATATATATATATATATATATCATCATCATCATTATCAGCGTATTCTACCAATCATGGTGCAGCCTTGATTATATATATATATATATATATATATATATATATATATATATATATATATATATATATATATATATGTAATTCTTTGGAGGGTAACTTTCGGGAAAGCGTCAAAACAATAATCGGCTAGAGATGGTATAAGCCAGTTTGGTGTAGAACTTTATTCTAAATGTTAAATTTTCGGTGATAGGCTGTCACCTTCATCAGCACCTAAATGGAAAACCTATTTAGTACAAGTGATTTAAATCAACATTTAAAAAATACTACATTGAAAATGTTCAGTTCACAAACATGTTTATGACAGTGTTCTTCACCACGAGGACCAACTGAATATTTTCAATGTAGGTTTTTAAATGCTGATTTCCACCACTTGTACTAAATAGGTTTTCCATTTAGGTGCTGATGAAGGTGACAGCCTATCACCGAAAATTTCACATGTGTGTGTGTGTGTGTGTGTGTGTGTGATCAGCATATATGTCATATTTCAGTGTCCTTTATAAAATTTGTTTCAGGTTGCAATTTTATACGCTGCGTTTAGAAGCGTAATTTCCTCAGAGGTTGGAGTATTCAAAGATATCTCGTTTTTTTTGTATGGTGCAAAGAAAAGTTCTAATATTACAATCATTGGAAAGGGATTTCTGTGGGGGATGGCTAGATTTATCTGCATTTTTTACTTCAAGAATCGTTATTGGTTCCTCTTCCCTCTCGTCTGCTTCCCTTATCAGTTACTGTTTTAAAATAAAACTGGTCATATCTCGTAAAACACTTTATATAAGGTAGCATAATCTAGTTGTGTACTTTACTATATATAGCTGCTACTGATAGTCCATACCTTTTCACTGATTGGATCTTAGAATTGTTTATTCAAGCGTATAGGGTGTGTTGAAACAAACATTTTTTACAAAAAACTAACCAGCAACTTTTAATAAACTCAGTGAAAAAATGTCGACTTTTTGCAAAAGGGTGCAGCACCTTAGTCTAAATACATGCTGGACATCCTAATCAAGCATTCTTAGTATTGCCTAGATACTATAGTTAAGTATATTTAAGACATTTCTGTCGCAGAAAACTGAAAGATAACATTATAGGAATTTAATTTTTTATGCTTAAGATCGACTTAATTTTAGGGTAGTTTGATTTGACGCACACTGTACAAAGTTCAAATATAGGATAGAATACCTTTGTATTGAGGTTTTTACTTACCTTCAGTCGAACATTGGGATATTTTAGTTTTCTAACATCATACTTCTTCATTGACTTACTCGTAACCTTCTTCATTCTGACTTTAAAATTACCTACAACTGGTACCTGATCAGAATTTATGTTTGCCCCGGGTGTGCACTGACAGATGTATAGTTGTTTATATATCTTTTATTTACTAACATGTAATCAATCTGATTCCTTACAATCCTTTCCACGAAATACTCTGGAGATTTCCAGGTTTTCAATTTTCTTGGGTGTAGCTTGTGGTCTTTAATAAAAGAAAAAGAATTCCAAAGATATTAGTCAATACAAGAAATGAGTGCCAAAACAAGAGTAGGTCGCCCAAGAAAAGTTGGTTAGCTAAAGCAGAAAATGACGTTTAAAAGAAAAATAATAGAAATTGGCGCGCAAAAACTAAGGACCGTAAAGGAGAAGATCAATAATTGTCGTGCTATGGGACTAAAAGTTCTGCGTTAGTGCTAGCGTTTGGAAATCGTTCTCAAAATACAACCATTAGTAAATTAAACAATTTTTTTTAACATTTGCATAAACTAACATGATATGCAAATTTAAAATCTTATGATACTTATTAGGAATACATTAAACCAAATATCCACTTTTTTCTCCAACAACGCGTACAATAAACTATTTTTACTACTTCTTGATTAACGATTAAAAAATAGTAAAATAAAAAACAAGTGCTACTGCTGACCTTCCAAAAACCGGCAAATATTTTCCGGGGTGGGGTCGATTTACAAAGATAACTAAAACCATATAAATAATAAACAAGTTGACTAAAAATTATTGTTAAGTTCACTAACGACCAAATACAATGGCTGCTAAAGTAAGTGGTATTAACATTTTTAAGGATGTTCAGTGATCTGTTACCTAGGTCTTTCTTAAGATTAGTATAGAGACGTAAATTATATTTTGATAATTTATTAGTTTACTGTTCTTTCAAGATAGCTTTATCTTTTAATTATTTTTGATCATTTTTGTTGAATTAACCCTCCTTTGTCTTCTAAACTTATAATATATATAGAACAGTGAGAAGAACTTACAGACGAATATGCTACCATAAGATAGTATCCAGATATTTTGTACAGTTTTTTCATATATTCTATTGACATAAGATTTGTTAAATACGCTTTCATATGGGGTTATTGGTATAGCTTCTTTATATGATTGGAATTGAACTCAAAAAATTGGTCAATATTACTAATGTTGTTATATTTTGATTAACCATTTATTGCTTTTCTTTGACAATCGTAAATAATTCTTTAGAATATATTAAGTAATAATTCTTCTTCTTCTACTTCCTCTTTCTAAGTAATTTTGTTTGTTCATTGAAGGATTAATACCTCTATGGAAAGTTGTCACTCTATCTTTTGCGCGGTCGTCCAATACTTCTTCTGAAAATTTGTGATCTATCTCTTGCTATTTTGATGACACGGGTCTCCTTTATTTTACTTATGTGGTTAGTTCATTCTTTTTTTTCTATTTTGTGTTTATTCATTCATACACTGTACGTTACATTTACTTCTAATGTCTTCACTTCTCTTTCGATCTGTCAGCGTATTTCCTGTAGTTCCTCTCAGTAGTCTCATCTCTGCTATTTCTAGTAGCCTTTGCGTTGTGGCTGTGTCAATTCTTGTTTTTAAGGCATATATCATTATAAATTCTTGGCTTCATCTCAGTGTTCATGTGTCTGTTTCGCCATATAGTGTTATTAAGGCATCCTGTCAGTCTATTTGCTTTTTGTGCTTGATCTCTCACTTCTTTGTCCAGGTCTCCACAGCTAGACAGTATAATTTATTTTATTTCCATTACTAGTTTAATACTGATGCTATCAATTTATATTTTACATCCAGTTGGTTCTTTGCTGACTACTATTGTTTTAGTTTTCTGAGATGAGATTGTCATATTAAATTCTTTTGTTCTTGTGTTAAATTTGTGGACCAGTCTTTGCAGACTATTTTTATCTTGGGCTATCAATATTGCGTCGTCTGCGTAACAAAGTATTTTTTATTTCTTTGTTTCCCATTCTGTATTCTCTTCCTTTGTTAACGCTTTTGATGATTTCATCCATGATTAAATTGAAGAGCATGGATCAGAATCAATCCCCTTGTCTTATTCCGCTCCCTATTTCTATAGGTTCTGTAAGTTTTCCATCTTTTCTAACTACCATTTTGTTGTTTTAGTAGATATTTTCAATCATCATCATCATCATCACTGGCTCGACAACCCTTTTTGGGTCTTGGCCGATTCAAGGATTCTTCTCCATTCTGACTTGTTGCTTTTTCTTTCCAGTTTTTAATTTTTAATGTTGTTGTATCATTTTCTATTTGTTCTACGTATCTCAGCTTCGGTCTTCCTCTTCTTCTTTTTCCTACTGGCACTTGTTTGAATATTTTGTTTGGTATTTCGTCTTCTTTCATTTTTTCCACATGTCCAATCCAACGTAGCCTTCCTATTTTAATGAATGTTATGATATCCGGATCCTGGTATATGTTGTATAGTTCAAAGTTATACCTTCTTCGCCAAATCCCGTTTTCTTTTGTGCCCTTATATATGTGTCGCAAGATTTTTTTTTTCAAAGGTGGCTAATAACGTTTCCTCCCTTTTAGAGAGTGTCCAGGTTTCTGAACCGTATGTGAGTACCGGTCTTATTAAGGTTTTGTATATAGATATTTTCAATAGTTGTTATAATATTTAGGATAACTTCTCTATTATACAGAAGATGGACTACATCTCTGAGTCTTACTCTGTCAACCGCTTGCTTTAGGTCAATCAGACACAGAAATGCTGGTCTATTATAGTCTAGTGTAATTTGCTTTAGAATGAACATTGCACTTGTACACGATGTTCCACTACGAAAACCATGTTGTTTATCTCTGTAGTTTTCTGGCGGTTTTTTATCTCCTTTTTTGATTAGTACAATAAATTTGCCCGTTGTCCATTCTTCCAGTATTAAACTTTGTTTGTTGGTCTTTATTATTAAACCCATATTTGTAGCCGATTCTTTTAGTGATACTTATTCCTCTATCGCCTCTAATACAGAGTTTTCCGTTCTCCCAACGATATTGATGTCGTCAGCATAAGGAAAGATTTGCACTGATTAATTATAAGTAATTTTCTGGCTGTTTTTATCTCCTTTTTTGAATAGAATTATTTCGCTCGTTCTCCATTCTTCCTCTATTTTATTGTTTTATAATTTTATTAATTAATGTTGTTAATCGTTCTGACATTGCTACTCAACAATATTTTAGTAATTCGTTTGGTATCAAGTCTTTACCTGCTGCTTTTCTATTCTTTAGGTTTTCAAGTATTTTTCGAACTTCCTGTACATTTGTATTAAGTTATTCATTTGTGGTAATTAATGGTGTTTTCGGTTCTAGCTACATTTGTTCCTCCTCTGCATACAGCTTTTTTAGGTAGTCAATCAGGTATCTTTTTTATTTATTTTGGTTCCATTAGCTCCTTTAACTCGGTTCTTTGACCTCTTATAAAACGTCATATTTCCTTTTACAGACCGTAAAAATCATGTTTTATTTCTTTGGAAAAGCGTTCCCAGTAATCATTTTTTTATTTTTCTTATAAGTGCATGTGTTTCGTTTCTAATTGTATTATAATTATGGTATGCCTCTTGTGTTTTGGTTGTCATGTATTTCATGTAAGTGTTTTTTGTTTCATTACATTTTTCCTTCACTTCTGTACAACATCCTTGCCTTGGAAACAATTTATTTTTATTTATATTTCTTTCACCAGGTAATTCCTTGACCAAGGCTAAGATATTAGACTTAATTTTTGACCAGCTTTCTTCGACTCCATCAGATTCTGTGATATATGTGTTGCTGCTTTTTTTCTGCCCAAGTAATAATTAGTTAACCAAATTAGCTGGACAGACGTTTTTGTAACAATCGTAAATCATATTTAAAATCCACAAGGAAAATAATTCCTGCAGCTGGCTGTATACCACGTATCACAAAAAGAGGTTAAATCTTTGTAAATGGGTATATTTAAAAAATCCTTAAAAGAGCTACATCAAATGAACACGAACGTTTTCGAAATAATAATTCCATCATCAGCTTCAAAATGCAGTTTAACACGCCTCAGCCACCAATATATTAGGGTAAAAACCCTTTAAAATAAATAAGGTTACCAAAGATTCTACATGTTTTTAATAATATTTGATGTTTAATATTTAATTATATTTTACTTCAGGTCAACCTAGTCAGATCCTTTAAATATTCTGAGACTGACTTCTAATTTTTTCTTTTTTTATTCTCATAACTTGGACTTGGACTCCCATAACTTCAAATTAATAAGCAACCTTTATATGGCCTTTATGCAACTAAGTCAAATGAATGGCGTTCTGTTAGTCCAGAAGGATATTAAAGGATTAGACTTTCGGAACGACAGAAAGAGCTTAGATTTGGAGCCCCTGCAGACTAGGCCCTTAGAGGCCTAATCCTTAGGGACCTAATCCATATGATACGGGTGATACAATGAACCTGCCTTAGGAGGTCTAAGTGTTTTAAGGGCTCACAAACAAGTTCTTCCTCGATCTACCATGACCATGACGTAGTATTGTATTCTTATTTTGTGACTTTTTACATTTGTGTTGTTGTTTCACATAAAAAAGTTGGATTTAAGAGATTTTATGCAGCCGAACACTTGTTTTAAATTTCCTATTATTATTTTTTATCAAATTTTTAGAAAACTTTGGTGTTAAAGAGCGTTATTTTATAGCTTAAAAAATTCAATTTTTACATTTTCCATATTAATTAAAAATTTACCTATTTTATACAATAAAAGTAGGTTGTAGATATCCTCGTGGTAAAGTTAAGCATTTAGATCAAACATTTTTTGCCTAACTGTCTTTTATTCGTTATTTCTTATATAGTCATGAAAACGCCATAATAGTTATCTTATTATCGTTTCTTTTTAAAAAATGGCAGAATTCATTGCAGTAACTAGAGCTGTAGCTTTAAATTCGGGGGCTTACATTGTACTAATAACAACCAGTTAAAAGTAAATAACCAATATTTAATAAATTTCTTCTTTCAGTTTTTAGTTCTCGCCGCATTTGTTGCCGTAGCTAGCGCCGGTTCTTGGGATTCGGGTCTAGGCTACGCCGCACCAGCTCTAGTCGGTCATGGATCTCAAAATGCTATCTCCACTTACTCCACCGTTCAACATCACGCTCCAGCTGTCCACGCCTACGCTGCTCACGTCCCCGCTGTACAAACCTATGCTGCTCAAGCTCCACTTATCCAACAATATGCTGCTCCAGTAGTCCACGCGCATCATGCCTATGCTGCCCCAGTTGCTAAAGCTGTTCTTGCTGAACCATCTGCACCAGCTCACTACGATTTTGCCTACGGCGTCGCTGACCCACACACTGGAGACTCCAAGAGCCAACACGAATCCCGTCGTGGAGATTTTGTTCACGGAAGTTATTCCCTTTTGGAATCCGATGGAACTAAACGTGTCGTAGACTACACTGCTGATCCACATCATGGATTTAACGCTGTCGTACACAACGAACCAGCAGCCCACGCTGTAGCCCCAGTAGTAGCCAAAGTTGCAGCACCAATCGTCCCTAATGTAGCATATTCTGCACCAGTAGCTCACGCCGCTTATGCTGCTCCAGTTTCTCATACAACTTATTCCGTTCCAGCAGCTTATTCCGCTCCAGTAGCTCATGCTGCTTATGCCGCTCCAGTAGCTCAGACTTACTCCACCTCAGTCTCCCACGGTTATGCTTCTCCCTTAGTTCATGGCAAAGCTGGTCATTTTGGATACGCTGCCCAGGCCCCAGTTGTCTCATACAATGTCTATTAATTTAAGTATTAAATATAGATTTTGTACATAATTTATTTTGTAAAATTGCAATGCAATTAAAAGAATGTTGACTGAAGAAACTTTTTTTAATCTCCCATAGGTTAAAATAGTTTCGATTACTTTCGATAGATTACAAGAGATCAATAATTAGGTTGATCTAATACGCTTTATTATCTCAGAAAAAATACTGCTTGTCCTTTTTTGCAATTTAGGAGTAAAGTGACATTAATATTGAGTTTTTTAACATTAAAGAAACTTCGCTGGTGAGAAAAATAGGAGTAACTTTTCACAATAAAACCTTTATTTAACACAACATACAAAATTAGTACAATTTTTTATTGGACAAAGACGATGCCATCCTTTCTGTCTGAAATTTTATGGCGAACCCTTTTTGTTTTTTAACAATGCAGATGTGTTGGGACTTAAAGTCAAGCATAGGATACCTTGTGTTACAAAAAACATAAATTATTTTAGAGCAATGTATTCTTTTATTGTGTTGGAAATTTATTTCGCCAAAAAATGTTACATCAATTGTTACATTCGTTGCATCTTGTTATGATTTATATTTTATATTTTGTGTTTAAAATAATTTTGTTATATTATTACATAAGAAATTATTTCTGCTTACAATACTTGAAGGTATTCCGGATATTTGAAGAAAACTAAAAATATCTCGGACAGTAATGAGTTTAGGTGTAGGGAAGGCTTCATACAAAGTAGCACCATGAATGAAATATTTTTAATAAATGATGCTCATATCAGGGAAAAATATAATCGTCTTGGACAAAAGACACTCTTCTCCCGAAGTTCGCAGATGTTCCTAAAACCTCTCTTTAATTATTTTCGTATAAAAACTTACCCACAGAAGTTGTGAAGCATATTATCCTATAGTTGTTCAGCATTTAATCTAAAAACAATATCAATAATAAACGATTATCACTAATATCATTAATCAATAATCTTTAATACCCCCTCTGTGGCTCAGTGGTAAGAGCGCCTACCTTTAAACCTAAAGGTCGTGAGTTCGAATCTCATCTGGGTGGAGAAATTTTCGTTTATTAAAAATTAATTAATGAAAATAATGTCTATCCTTGTGCGATCGGTACTCACCGGAGGGACCGCAGACGTTCGGATACAATTACCGTCTCTTAGCAAAGACAATGACGTCGACTTTGCTAAGTATCAAGACAATTACTCTACACACACACATACACACACACACACACACACACACACACACACACACACACACACACACACACACACACACACACACTACACTAGGTACCTGGCTGTACCATGCCAATGATCTGAGTTGTCGAGGCATTAACTCAATAATAATAATAATAATCTTTAATGACACAATATCTATGACATAATATCTATGACACACGCAATATTCCAAAAGATTGGCTAGTTTCAGAATTTATTACGTTACCAAAGAAACAGGGAGCGAAAAAGTTCGGAGAATATAGGTATGAGAGACGCACTGTTTAGTCTACAGGTATTATTCCAAAGATGCAAAGATATGACTTGCGATATCCACACCTGCTACCAAAAAGCATTTGACACAGTTCAACACAGGAAAATGATGGATGTTCTAACAAAAGCCCAAATAAATGATAAAGACTGGAGCAAAATACAAAATATATTCCTCAAACCAATTAGCCACAATAAGAACAAATCTTGGAGATGAACCGACGGAAGCGATCGAGTGTTTATAAGGCGTTTAACAAGGATGTATACTTTTACCTATATTATTCAACCTATATTCAGAAGAAATATTTAGTGAAGCCTTAGAAAATTGCGAACATGGAATCCTTTTAAATGGAGAACGCCTAAACAACATCCGTTATGAAGACGACACCTATATTTTTGTAGACAGTTTAAATAGTTTACAGCAACTCATAAACAAAGTAAATGAAGCCATTGAAAGATTTGGACTACAAGTAAACATATCACAAACTAAATTTATAGTCATTAGCAAAAATAAAATTAAAGACGTCCAACTGCTTATCAAGAATACACCAGTGGACCGAAGTTTACCTATCTTGAAACAATAGTAAACGAATAATGGGATCACTCACAACAAACAATAATGTAGAATAGAGAAGGCTAAGAGTGCATTCAACAACATGATCAAACTCATTAGAAGCCACAACCTTAATCGGAGATAAAAATAAGGGCCCTACTATGTTATATCTTCTCGATATTATACTACGCAGTTGAACCCTGGACACTCACTGAAGAGATGGAGAAAACACTTGAAGTCTTCGAGATGTGGCTATAAGGAAGGTACCTAAGGATATCATGGATGGACTAGATAACCAACGAGACTGTACTACGAAGAATTGGGAAAGAAAAAGTGATGTATATGATTAAAAGGAGAAAGTTAGAATATCTCAGACACATAATGAGAAACAGCACTAAATACAGATTACTGAGAAATTGGGAAATATCATGGTTAAAAAAAATAAGGAAAGGGTTCTCCACAACAACAGCTAATGTAATTAAAGCATTAGTTAATAAAATAATTATAGCCAGAATGATCGCCAATATTCGAAACGAATAGGTACCAAAAGAAGAAGAAGAATCTAAAAACCGAATTCCAAAATAAATAGAAAAATTTGAAAAAAATATCAAAGTCAGAATACATATAGTTAAAACTCTTCCAAAAAATACTCCAGTTGCATTAAGTAAAACTGGTTAAAAACTAAGTAGTGTTAGAATTTCTAGTGTAAAAAAGTGTTTATCGATCGTCTGTCAACTAAAGAACAGGCAAGAAGTGGTATTATGGCCTCATGTGAAGACATAAAAAATATCGTTATAGCAGCCGGAGAAAACATAAACGGCAAGATTTGCAGGATTTACAAAAGCACCTGTTCAACCGTATAATGGCAATATCAGCAAATATTAGCCAAGACGGGAAAACATCAAATTCGGAGCATTTCTGGTGAAAAAAGAAGGGTAAATACTGCTGTGATTTGTTGTGCCAAAGCAGCAGTGCAGTTTGTACCACCCATGATAATTATAAAAACAAAATTTTAGGGTATTTCAAGACAAAATTTCATTACATATTATATTGGCTTAATCATTTCATTGAAACAGTTAAGTCAAGCCCTGAAGCCTCTGTTTTGTTATTGTTGGCCGGCTACAGTAAAAATCTAAAAGCTCTACAAACTGCCAGGGCTAATGGAATTAGGTTATTGCAGTTACTAAGTCACGCCACACAGAAACTTCAACCGTTGTATGTTGGATTCTTTAGAACCTTTTAAAATGTTTATAAACAATAGGTAGGTCAAACGTGGGTCAAATTGTATTAAGGTTTCAGGTATTCGGGATAATTAAAGAGGCTTGTGGGCTGGCTATAACAGTGAGAGATACACAAAACGCTTATTGTGCTAGTGGCATTTGGCCTACATTTGAAAATGTTTTGAAAAAAAACTGATTTTTCAAGCATCAATGATGTTTGACGGTGCATCAAACTATAATCATGAATCCGGCAACTAATTGTCGAAACGATTTGATTTTATTATGGTTTTGATTCTATTATGACAGGAAAGATTGTTTTCACGTTTAGATCGTTTGTAAATAGCTGCTACGAAAATCCCGTTTAGGGTGAAATACGTATTTCACCCTAAACGGATGAAATAAGTGGATATACAAACGCACTATACGTGAAATCAAATCCTAATTGTCTTTCCTTTTATAACCATGAATTCCAACAGGAATGTCGTTCCGTCAAAACTCGGATTCAAGAGCATCAAAGATGCATTCGATCAGTTCTTTTCTCCTATTCTGCAGTTGCAGAACACTGCCAAGAAACCGGTCATTCCATATTGTTCGAAAAAACCCATATTATTTCTAAGAGCCCCTTCTTTTATTCCAGGAAAATCCGCGAATCTCTAGAGATCCGAAAAAATCCACATAATATCAATCGAGAGGAAGGATACTACTTGTCTCTCATCTGGAATCTCAGTCTAGAGCCGCCGTCCGGTCCCGCTACCACGATGCAGCCACATGATTGGCCAGCGCGCGCTTCTTGACGTTCGCGCCACGGAGTGTGCCGATACGGCCCGACACGACAGGTCACCGCGACTATAAATAGAGCGGTAGCGGAGTAATCGTCGGATTCACTCCCCGCCTCTCGACGCACTAGTGTTCTGAGTTGTTGGACGTGAATCCCTGTCCTGGCATTTGGTTTTCACCTCTGGCTGCGTCGAGTAGTTGAGTTACTGTGACCAAATGCCCATCTTGGTAGTTAGTATTCGCCTCTGGTTGCGTTGAGTAACTGAGTTACCGTTGCTAACTACCCATCTTCCTGTCTTCTTTTTCTTTTTCTTTGTTCTCCTGAAGAAGCTACATACAATTGTAGCGAAACGTCGAGATGAACCCACTTTTGGGTCACTCACAAATGACACGGTCCAAACCCGGAAGACGAATAAACTATAATTCTGACTCTGGCCGTGGAAGCCTACGATTTCATTTAACGTAATACTCCATTGGCAGAAAAAAAAGAAGAGAGCAGCGTTAACTTCCCCAAATCCCCAAATATTATTTCAGTGTAGTGTATTTCCCCGTTACCTATATATAGAAACCAAATCATCATAAGTTTGCCGCACCAGGACGCAGTTGAATTGACTAGTTCATCGTACAAAATTGAACTTAAAGCACGAGCTGGGGTATCTAAAGCAAAATAAATTTCTGAAATTATTTTTATGATAAAATGTTAAAATATTTTTAAACTGAAGTCATTTTACCCTGTTGTATTTCGGATTAACGCCCGAAAAATAATTTAGGACTCTAATTACAGCCACTCTGTTATGCTTTCCCTTTTCTACTTGCTTTGTGGTACCGAATCTCCTACTGGTCGGCTGTAGTACTTAAGGATAAATCAGCGTTATAATCCGACAAGCGAGTGCTGGCGGGTGAGCTGCACAAAAATAGAAAAGAAATTATTCTCAGAGAGATAGGAGAGGTACTTAATCGCGATTATAGGT